TTATAATTTCTAGATTTTAAACTTTATTTTGATATATTGTTTATTAATTTTTATGCAATAGTTTTTGAATAACAAATAAAAAATTCTAAAAAGTTTTGTTATACATTGTATATAAAAAATTTATAATATATATTTTGAAAAAATTTTTTTTGACTTTAAATCCTTATTTTCAAATAAATTTATTAATTAGATTATAATATATATATATTTAAAATTTTATCTTAATTAAATTATTATTTATTGAATTATAATAAAAAAAATCAATTCAATTATTTTTGTCCCACACTTTATATATATATATATTGTAGTGCACTAATAATTGTATTACGGTATTTTGAAAAAATATATTTTCAAAATTTCATATTAATCGATTAACTATAGTTTTTTTAAAATAGTTTAATGTCAATCATTTAAAACTTTATGAAGATTATAATAAAAAGTCTTATTATAATTGTATATTTAATTTAATAAAATTTATATATAATGATTAAACAGCATCTATTCTCGATGTATATATATATTATGCTTGCAAGAAAGATAAAAGTACATAAAGCTTTCTTCGATAAGATTTAATTCTCGAAGTTGCCAGACGTATCTTGAATGATTTGACTTTTGGTTGTCGCCGATTCCGTGTACGTTATTAAGAAACGATCGATTTAATAAATCTCGGTCACACGAGAATATCGCTTGCAGAATAATCACGATTACATGTGGGTAATTATTCTTGAGCATATACGAATTCCAAATTGAATTTAAAACCTAAATTTGTATAACGTACAGAAAAAAATCATTCCTTATCAAAAAAAAGGTCGTGCCGAGGGTAGCACAGAATCAAGAAAATTTTTATGACGATGAATTAAATGCATTTTTTTATCGTGTAAACAAACAACCTATTGGTGATAAGTTTCTTGAATTAAAATTAAAATTCACATTTTATTTTTAATAATTAATTTGAATTACAAATTTTCTTTTTATATTTTTTAAAAAAAATTGTCAAGATATGTATACTGTAAACGCAAAGGTTTTGTTTAACAAATGGATATAATACTCTGACATCGTATCTAAAAAAAAATAAAAAAAGTTATATATATTTTTTTCTTCTCTTCAACCTTATAAGATAAATGAATAAATATTTTATAATAACGCTTCGTCTTGAATATTTTAATTTCAAATTATGAAAACGAACCTGTTATAATTTAAGGTTCACTTCTTTCCGCCGAAATCTTAACCAACATTTCGCGATCCCATAATGATTCGTGATCGACTATCACGATCCAAAAGAAAAATTTTAGTTCAATTAAATATTATTTAAGAAAATGGGTTACTTATCGGCATCAAGGTACCAAATTTTTTCTAATGCTTAAAAAATCTTTAAAGCTCGATATTTCGGGTCGGTCCCAGGATCTAAAACAGTTTTTACAGGTCCTTAAGAAAATGATTATTCCGAAATGGCGGATCTGATTGACATTATTCAAATGTGAATTAGAAATATTCCTGAGCTTTTTGCATACGCGATATCATTATATTACCAATTCGGATTAACAATGCGTTCTGAAAGAATACAGTATGTAAAAATTGCGTCATCATTTAAGTGTCATATCTACGTCATGGAAAACGACAAACTTATTAAACTTTTAATGGATACCAATAAGCAAGACGTAAATATAAAAGGGACGGCTGTTCGTAATCAAAGGTCAATTTAAAATACTCTTTCGTACATTCTTGTAGATAATTTTTAACGACAATGTCAGGGATTAATCCATCCAAAGATCATGTTATCCATCTTAAAAATTCACCTACCGATACTGCGGGTGCTCCAACTACTGCCGACAAATATGAAAACACGCGTCATTTGAAATATGGTCAGACGGAAAATCAAAAGAAAGAAGGCACTTCTGGAACCATAAATTCAGAAGAGACGGGGAGGTCTGTATCTGTTCGAAACCAACTTAATAAAATGGACGCTGTAATACATGAATCGTATTGACATTCCAATTGTACCACATTGATTTTCACTAGTCTCCTCGATTCTACTCCTGTCCGTCGTTATTCAGCATCCTCGGACTCGAGACCAACATTGCAGCATACTTTTCATGAAGAGTTCATGGGCGGACTCCCCGGCGATGACATGATTGTACGCGAGGAGCAAAAAGAAAAAGAACGTAAAAAGACAGAGCAAAGGAAGAAAACATTTTGATTAAAAAAGGTTTTATCCGAATATTTAATAGTTTTCTTTTTTTTAAAAAAAAAAAATCTTTAATGCATCTGTACGATTAGATATCCTAGTTTCGGTTACTGTACTTATTTTAAAATAGAATAAAAAACCTCCCAATATTCATTTATTTTAATAGAGGAATTACGTTTTTTTACCAACTCGAATATTTGATAAATCTTTATTGGTAAATCTCTGCGTCGGTAACTCCGACATTTTAATAGTAAATTTTCTGGAATCAGTAAAATTTGTCCGTCATTGAAATGTGCGTATACCATTATCCATGGAGAAATATCTCCGCCGATTGAATTGATAATGGAAATTATCCTTTTCATAATATGAGATGCACCCCGTAGATCCGTTTATTTGTGAAATCTTTGGTATATTTATTTCATGTCATTTTGTTTCTTGACTTGGTTTAAATAAGGACTCAAATCCTTTTTCTTACGAGCTAGACGAAACGACCACGAATACTTGTTTAATTATAAAAAATTTTAATAATTCATTTTCCTAAATAAATTAATGATACGAATTCACATTTAAGTAGTTTAAGGATGACCGATAATAATTACTTGTCTCCCAATCAGGGTGTCACCGCTGCCTCGGTGAGCGAGACTTCAATTACAACCTCCGTAAGCTCCGCGAACAAAAGCCCCGCTCAGGAAAACGTCACAGCATATCGTACCGGTAGATTTCAGCGGTTGTTTAGACAATTATGGATTATGTTAAGAAGAAATTTCATATTACAAGTATTTATCTATCAACTCATTTTTCCAATATAAATGCTCTTAGATGATTATATAATTCTTTAACTGTCAATCTTTGGTTTTCCATAGGTACGATATCGTAAATCCACGATTTCACAAGTCTTCGTTGGTCCATTTCTCTTTTTATTGCTCCTTTTCGTCTTGCAAAAGGCCGATGATAACGTGCGTTTAAAATCAAACTTACATCCGTTGTCATACCCTTTGCTTGGAGTTCAACCTTGCCAGGTATTATTCCACTACTACATCATTATAAAATATGTGGAACGTTATTGTTGCGCACTCACCGTATTCGATTCCTCATTTATTACAAGGGACGCACAACGTCAAACCCTTGTATCAATTTTATGTTTACACCAAATACTCCCGATTCCGTGAGAATTATGCAAACCTTTGCTGATAATAATGCAAAGCGAACGGGAAAGCGATTAAACATTGAGAGTATTGAACTCGGTACGACGTTTGTTTTCTCTTTTATTCATATGTTAAACTACCTGACGCACATCATATTTATTTATCTTCTATCTACCCTACAGGGCTTGATGACAAACCGCAAAAAACTCTTGACATCGTCCCCGTACAAGATGCAAACTTTATATATAATTATACCTTGCGTCATCCAAACGTCACAATGTTTGCTATCGAATTTAGCCCTTATCCGGGACCACCACAAAACTATAGATATCAGATTTGGTACAATGCTACCTTGATGTCGAATAACTCGGATATCTTTGGCGAACAGGTTTTGTCCTTCCAGCGTGGCATTGATGAAGCCATTAGTATGTTTGTTTTTAAAGAACTCCACGCAATATCGATATCATTACATACAAAATGTTGTTAACGGCTATTATTTATTTTATTGCAGTTGCATTCGCCACAAATGATTCAAACACGGCATTAAATGTTGATCTCAAGGATTGGCCCAAAGTTCCACCGACTCAACTCAATAATCAGATTGTCTATTCATTTGGTGCTCCCTTCTTCTTTTGTGCGGAAATGATTATTTTTATCTCTATTTTGAACACAATCGTAACAGAGAAAGAATTGAAATTGAAAGATAGTTTGGTGATGATGGGTTTGAAAGTTGAAATATACTGGATTTCCCATTTCCTTTCTAACGCATGCTTGATCATCCTTTGTTCCTTGGTGACTTGCGTACTTGGAGAAATTTTCGGGTTTTTCGCCTTCAGGAATGCAAACTTTGGCGTATTGTTCATCACCTTTATTCTCTTTGGTCTTTCCATGGTGACTTTTGCATTCTTCATCACAACCTTCTGTCGTCGTTCTCGTGTTGCTATACTCGTTGGCATCTTGATTCTCATCATTGGCCTCTTATTCCAATCTTTCGTATTCTCCAATGTTTATATTGGTTACATATGGTGGAGTAAATCTGTCGCTTCGGCAGCTTGGATTGTTTTAATGTTCCTTCCCTTTTTCAACTTTGGTAAATTCTACTTGGATTTATCAAATTTGACCGCCGGTAAACTCGATCAGTTGACGCAGACCGTCATTCCCGGCCCCGGATTCCATTGGAGCGACCTTTACAACAACGTTCCTAGCAAATATGTGCTGGCGTATGACTCTAGTGGTTACAAACCTACCGTGCCGGCACCTGTACAGAGTTGGTATTTTTTGATGATGAACATTGTGGTGTTTGGCTTACTCACCTGGTACCTTGACAAAATCATTCCCGATGAGTATGGTAATTACCGAAATCCGCTTTTCTTTTTGACACCCAGTTACTATGGCTTCAAATTCAAGAAGACTACGAATTTGAACGCCTGGATGACTAAGAACAAGAAGATCGGTAAAAATCATGACGGTGAGGATGAGGATGTTGCAAATGAACGCCTGCATGCTTTCGATGCCACTCAAGACTTTGCTATTAGAATTTGCAACCTGAACAAGGTTTATCGAAAATCCCTTTTTGTTGAAAGTAAACTCGATAAGGTGGCTGTCAATGATTTGTGTTTGACATTGAAGGAAGGAAAATGTTTAGCATTGCTGGGTCAAAATGGTGCTGGAAAGAGTACTTCAATAAACATTCTCTCCGGAGTCACACCGGCCACGAGGGGTGACGCATTGTTGTATGGGTTCAGTTTGAAAACCGAAATGGGTTCAATTCGTAATATTATGGGTGTATGTCCTCAGCATGATATTCTCTTTAATGATTTAACTGCGCGGGAACACATTGAACTTTACGCTGGTATCAAGAATATATCTCCTACGGAGATTGAGAAATTGGTTAATGAACGTCTGACTGCCGTACGTTTGAACAAGGTTGCAAACAAGCCAGCAGGATCTTACAGTGGTGGTATGAAACGTCGTCTCAGTATGTTGATCTCCACCATTGGCGACCCTAAGATCATATTTATGGACGAACCAACAACCGGTATGGATCCGGTGAACAGACGTCACGTATGGAGTTTCATCGAGAAATTTAAAAAAGGAAGAGTTATCATTTTGACCACACATTCCATGGAGGAGGCTGATGTGCTGGGGGATCGGATATGCGTCATGGCTCACGGAAAATTGAGGGCCCTCGGTAACACTATCCACCTTAAGAACAAATTCGGCACTGGTTACCGTGTATCGCTTGTCACCAATCCTCTAGATTCACCAAGACTCAAGGAATTAATTGAATCCAAAGTACCCGATGTAAAACTGGAAGACGATTCGGCTGGTGCTTTAATTTACGAATTACCAATGTCATCGTTACCCGCTTTGCCATCACTGATCAAATGGTTGGAAGAAAATGATGAGATGAGCTATGCTGATCCTGGAAAGAAGTTGGTTAAAGCTTGGGGTGTTAGTCAGAAGAGTTTGGAAGAGGCTTTCTTACGATTGTAATTATTGTTTTGTTGTTGGTCGCTTAAAGTTTTTTTTTTTTTCTTCGGCTATTAATTAGTAAATTCATTTGATTTTTGCAGGATCCGCGAAGCAAATCCCAAAGGTTATAATGTACTCGATGATACGGAAGGAACCGGTGTGAAAATAAACGGAAGTTCCGGCTTGAGGCAACGTAATGTTTCGTCTTCTAATTCGTAACTTGTAGATAATACCTCAGGTTTGCGGAAAAATATCAGGGAAATGATAACATTTTTAATTTAACTTTATATATTGTATTAGTATTGTAGTTTAATTACATGCGCGGGATTTTTCACATTTTTAATTATAAAACCACTTACAATGTATGATATTAAAAAGAGACATTAAAGTTGAACATTTAAGTTTCCGATTTATAGAATTTAGAAAATTGATTGCACATTTCAATATTTGGAATATCTTATGACTTGGTATTATTTTATTAGTCTGGTTTCTTTTTGATAATGCTGCTTGTACAGTATATCAAGGTTTTTCGCAGATTAGTGATCAATTTTATTATAGACAGAACAGACTATAAAATAATTGATTTTTAACTAAATTAATAAAACATTAAAAATTTTATGATCCTATTTATAAATTGCTATTTCATTTATTTTTATTTAATAAATAAAATAAAATTGAAAATTAATGATTTGAATGTTTTTTCTATTAGGAATTGTTGATTTTAATCGCAACAAAGTTAATATCTTGTGTATGATGTCGAATTTCAAACTTCGAAATCCAATATCCCAAAGATAGATGTACAGTACTAACACGATACAAATAATCCTGTTTATTAGTTTTTTTTTTTTTCATTCAATTTTATCACGAATAAACAGTCAGATGATATTGTCGACTAGATGAAAGATTGTAATTCATTCAATCTTTTTTTTAAAAGAGAAGTTATACATAACATTAATAAAATCGACATGATCAAAAAGATGATTCGAAAAATTGTAAATCGATCCAAATCAAATATTCTGAACCATCTTTTTTCGGGAATGGCTACTATAAGGATGGCAGCACCGTATCTATCAACAACTTCATCCACATTACGACGAACAAGAGGATCTATAATTGATTGTTTATTAATTGAAACTAGATCATCGAAGCATTATACCCACATTTAAATACCTACCGGTTAATTCTTCGTAATTCTTGATAATTATGACCGGAATCCTTCCTGGACGTTCGTTTATGCCCTCACCGTCACCAGGTGCAAGACTAATAAAAAAAATGTTCACGAATTTCTCTCGTCATTATCAGGAATCATAAAAGAACATACAATGTGGGTCATCGGATTTGGATTTTACTCGGTTCTTTCAGTTACAAAAAACAGATTATACCTTATATGATATGGCACCAGGCCCACGTGACGGAGGATTCTCAAAAATTCTGGTTCAAAGTTGTTACCCTTAACGATAGGTGAAAACATGATAGTGATTCTTTACGAATAAAATTTTTCTCGTGTTTTTTCCCGTTATTGCTGAAAGAACGCGTCAATGCGAATCGATTGTCATTTTATGTAAGTAATTATGTATAAATTACGTAGTTGATTTTTTGATGTGGTAATCATAGTTTTTTGAATATAATTCAATCAGTCAAAAAATCCCCAAAAAATTCTTTCATTTAAAAATAAAAGACAAAGATATTTTATTGCGTAGCATTATTGATTAATTCCATTTTTACTTGCAATAGCTATTCTATAACATGATTTTATTTATTCTATTAAAATTTCACAACTACTCTAAGGATTATTATTTTAATATATAGTATATTTTGAAAAATTATTATTATAGATAATAACTATTTTATTTTATTTTTATTAATATAAAGTAATTAATTTTGATTTTTTTTTTTTGATTATTACTTTTTCAAATATACAGTTTTTCAATAAATAAAGGATTGCTTAAGAATTATTATAATTAAACAGAAATAGTTGACATATATTAAACATTTTATTTTATTAATAAAAATAGCTTTAACATATTAAGTAAACTTGTTTCTCATAATGAATTCTATATATAGTTAAATTTTTATTAAAATTTAACAAACTTTTATTATTACATTTAATGATTTTTTTCTGAATGAAAAATTTTTAATTTTTTTGTTAAAATTTTGATTTTTATAATCACTGTTTTAATAAGCAATTTGGTATTAATAAATTTATTCAGCATATATTAAAGTATTTAAATATTAAGTTTTATAAAATTTACATAGTATTTAATTTTTTATTTGATAAAATGTAAAATATTTTTAATTTAACATAAATTATAAATTTTAATATTAAATATTTATTTATATTTAAATCTGTGAATCTATAGTATAGTGGTTAATATTTTACAAATCAGATCATAAGATATCAGTTCAACCTTAAAAATAAAAGTGATTAAATAAAACATATATAATATTTGGCATCATAATCTATCAAAGTACTGTTTTTTATAAGAAGCTGTTTTATATACTAATTTAATAAGTATTGAAATTATAATTTTTTTAAAAGGTATTATGATATGACAATTATCTGATTAGTATTACTATAATTACCAAAAGTTATAAAAAGTATAAGGTATTTGTTTTCAGCAAATAATTTTGATAATCATTTTTCTAATATTTAATGTTTTTTTACAAATTCTTGTTTTAGTCTTATTTCAATTTAATAATAAACTGATCTAATGGTGCTTATTCCAAGAAAGCATTTGGCAATAAGGTCCATTTTATACAAAATATATAAATCACTATTTAAACAGTAAGATTTGTTATAAATATCTTGAATATTCTTAAGTATTATTTAAGCAGATATGAAATTAAATAGTTAATATGGCTATAAGTAGAAATAAAGAAATTTAATTCATAATAGAACAAGCAAATATCTTATAGCTTTATTTACTATATAAGAATACTATCTTTAGTATATACCTTTATTTTTCTTTAATCCTTTTTCAATAAAATAAAGCAGTTAATAAAACATATCAGTGATTTAGTAACAAGTAAAACTTTGGTATATTTGTATCAACTTCTATTTAATTGAAAAAAGTTAATAACAATAATTAATATATAAAGAAATTTCTATATAGTTTAGCATATATAAAAATCAATTAATATTATAATATAGTCTATATATAGCAATATATATAAATATATATAAATATTGATTTTAATAAAGTTTGCTAAACAAAATCTATACTAACATTTAATAATAATATTTATTTTATTAAAATCCTCACATGTATCATATCTTAGCCCTTAAAAAAAATAAATAATAATAATAATATTTATTTTATTTTTATTTATTTTTATTTTTTTTTAATCCTACAATTAAATTGGTATCATTTATTTATTAAATCATAAAGAACTATTACATACACAAAAATATATACAAAGTATAAATTTCTTTGACCCAACTTACTCATCAATAGCCAAAGCCTCTAGATGCAATTTATGGGGTGATATATTGTTTTCCTAAAGAATAGAATTAAGATCCCAAACTTCTAATAGAACCAAAACCTGCAGATCACCTCTACAGTTATGACTATAAATCCAAATTGTGTCACTCTTCTCTTGTAGAAACTACGCAAGGGGAAAAAAGAATAAAAAGGAGAATTTTTTGACAAGAAGAAAAGAAAAAAAAAAGCTATCATCTATTCTAACTATTATTAAAAAGGTTATTTCAGTGAACTTAAAACCCAAGCCTCTTATGATTTTTTACTTCTCACCACTTGTGGCCTGTCAAACTATTTAATTTTCAATAGAGTAGTCGATGTCCAAGAATGTTTAAGGGCACTTTCAAGAGAGTATTTTTTGAAACTTTACACTTGAAGACTTCTAATCAAAAAAAATGTTAGTTTTTTATTGTTGATTTCTCTTTCAAGCCATGTCTTCTGGAATTATAGCTTTACTTAACCAATGAATATATCAGGAAATTTTTTAGTAAAAATTTTCAGGTGTAGACCTCTGGAGAATCTCCATCATCGCTAAAAGACTCCGGAGCAAAACTTAATATATTAAACTCTAGAGATCTTCGATTTATTTTAATAATAATAATAATAATTTTTTTTAATCCGCAATCAAACTGGTATTGTATATTTATTAAATCATAAAGAACCATTACACACATTAGAATATATGCAAAGTACAAATTTTCTCAACCCAGCTCACCCGTCTTAAGCTTAAGTCTCTAGATGTGATTTATGAAAGTAATATGTTGCTAGCCTAATAGTTATGATTAAGATTCAGTTATGCCATGAGGATTACACCCTGCAGATCACTTCTACAGTCACAATCATAAATCCAAATTGTATTGTCCTTCTTTTGCAAAAACTATGCAAGAGGCAAAGGATAAAAAAAGAAATAAGGGTAAAAAAAACAATATAAATGTGCACAAATAAAGTGATGTAAAAAAAAAAGGAATAAAAGCTATTATCTATTCTATCTATTATTGAAATGGTATCTCAGTGGACAAAATCCAAACCCCTCATAAATACTCACTTGTCATTACCTGTGATCAGTTAGACTGTTTAATTTCCATCAAAGTGAATGATATCCAAGAACATTTAAGGACACTTCCTGGAGAATATTTCTTAAAACTTTATGCTTAAAGACTTTTAACTAGAAAGAATGTTGGTTTTCTATTGTTAATTTCTCTTCCAAACCATATCTTTCTGAAATTATTGCTTTGCTCAACCAGTGGATAATTTCAAGATCTCTTTCTCCAACTATTTTTGATAGACATCGTTACTTTAACTTGTTGCCAAATTGGAATAAGATTTGAATCTTGTGTTTACTTCCAGTCCTCTAGATAGAATAGTAAAAAAAAAAGAGCAAATAAAAGGGAAAAACAAAAAGAGGACCGTTCCTCCTCTACTCACAACTTCAAATTTCAACCAGAACTTCCGTACTACTTCTTTAACTAAAAAACCATCTAACTCTTTTTGGAATCAATCACATCATTGATTTGGTATTATATGACTTGAAACATGTGAGAGAATGTATCTTGTTTATTTTTTCTGTAACTGACATGATCAACCAATCTGTGATTTTGACTAATCATCTTGCAAGAAAGTTCAGTGTAACCAAAAATTCAGGGTCAAACTGAGGTAGATAAAATTTTCCAGAAAAACAGAAAAAAGAAAACATGCTTAAGAAAAAAGAAGAGGGAAGTCAAAGAGATGATATAAAGGCTAAAGGCTTCTTTTTCTTTATTTCTCTGGGCTTTTGAATCTTCTGAGAATCTTTGGAGGATATTTTTTCTTGTCAGTTTTCTTTCTAGAAAGGTGTTCTTACTATAAATCTTTTGGGTATATTTCTTGTATTTAGTTGCAAAAATATGCAAGAAGATATTTGAAAAAGAAAAAGAGAACAAGTGGTGGCTGCTGCTTGCTTTGCTGGTTAGAGAACTAGTATTGTTAAGGAAAGTATATAGGCTTTATTATCAGAAAGATATAAAATCTTTTGAAAATATCTGTTTTTTAAGTTGGTAAATGGATCAGTGGAAAGAGTTTTTTAATAATAAAATATATTCATATTTACATATTATCTTCTATTAATATTCAATTTTAAATATTTATTGGCTTTTAAAATTATTTACTATTATATAATTCTTGTTTACATTTATTTATTTGTCTAAATCTTTATTTATTGTCAAAGTCTTTCTCTCTAATTCTCTATTTTCTAGTAATTGTTCCAGATCATTTTCAGTATTTTCACATTCCTTTTGATTATCTTCTATAGTAATAATTTGTTGCTTAGTCATTTCTTTATCTTCGCTACTTGAATTTTCTTCTTTGAATCCAAGTTCTTTTTTAATTCTCTCTTAAAAATATTATTAGCAATAATTTATATTACTTTGAAAACTTTTAAACTTACCTTATTTTTTATTTTTTTTTTTATAGTGAAACATGCACATGATGCGTAATCTATATTAATACATTTATATATTCAAATAGACACCAAGTGTCTTTACAAATTAACTAACGATCGGTTGGTACAGGATATCCTTTATGTCTTTACAGTTAATCTGCAAATTAACATTACCTAGTACATATATTACTATAAGACTAGCTATGCTAACCACTATTATCCAACTATATGTCCATTTAAACATCAAGGAGATGTGTCCACACGTCAGGTGGGACTTTCGCGAGGGAGAAATCCTACCGCTAGTTTAAACCCGCCTAAATCTGCTGGTCCATTATTGCAGGAAGCAGTATATATAGAATATTATTATAGAGACTAATCCCAGAATTCCAATCTTCTATTATTGCTGATCCTTGGGATGTGTTACTAGCATAGCGTTGCACTACCATTTTCACTATCTGTGGAACTGGCGTTCTTGCTTGGATTCCGATTTAATCTTGTAAAACCTCACTAGATTCATTTGGATTAATGATTTTTGTCTAGTCTTCTCACCACCTGTAGCTAATACCTTGCTCTTCA